CTGTACTATAGATAATAGGAGGAATCCAGAGGAAGGAAAAAGCAATGAAGATAGAAGTTGGAGGAGCCTTTCTATGGGCAGCATAAAGAGCTTGCAGTTATTTATTCTAATATGTGTCTTGTATATCTTTCCAGAAGTATTTCATAAATGGATAAGAGTAGTTGCTTCTGGAGAAAGGATCTGGGAGAGAACTTACTTTTTCTTTTTTTTTTATTTTTTTTATTTTTTATTGCATTTTAGGTTTTGGGGTACATGAGCAGAACATGCAAGACAGTTGCATAGGTACACACATGGCACTGTGTTTTGCTTCCTTTCTCCCCTTCACCCATATTTGGCATTTCTCCCCAGGCTATCCCTCCCCACCTCCCCCTCCCACTGGCCCTCCCCTTTTCCCCCCAATAGACCCCAGTGTTGAGTACTCCCCTCCCTGTGTCCATGTGTTCTCATTTTTCATCACCCGCCTATGAGTGAGAATATGCGGTGTTTCATTTTCTGTTCTTGTGTCAGTTTGCTGAGGATGATGTTCTCCAGATTCATCCATGTCCCTACAAACGACACAAACTCATCATTTCTGATTGCTGCATAATATTCCATGGTGTATATGTGCCACATTTTTCCAATCCAGTCTATTATCAGTGGGCATTTGGGTTGATTCCAGGTCTTTGCTATTGTAAACAGTGCTGCAATGAACATTCGTGTACATGTGTCCTTATAGTAGAACGATTTATAGTCCTTTGGATATATACCCAGTAATGGGATTGCTGGGTCAAATGGAATTTCTATTTTTAGGTCCTTGAGGAATCGCCACACTGTCTTCCACAATGGTTGAACTAATTTACACTCCCACCAACAGTGTAAAAGTGTTCCTTTTTCTCCACATCCTCTCCAGCATCTGTTGTCTCCAGATTTTTTAATGATCGTCATTCTAACTGGCGTGAGATGGTATCTCAATGTGGTTTTGATTTGCATCTCTCTGATGACCAGTGACGATGAGCATTTTTTCATATGATTGTTGGCCTTATATATGTCTTCTTTCATAAAGCGTCTGTTCATATCCTTTGCCCACTTTTGAATGGGCTTGTTTGTTTTTTTCCTGTAAATCTGTTTGAGTTCTTTGTAAATTCTGGATATCAGCCCTTTGTCAGATGGGTAAACTGCAAAAATTTTTTCCCATTCTGTTGGTTGCCAATTCACTCTAGTGACTGTTTCTTTTGCTGTGCAGAAGCTGTGGAGTTTCATTAGGTCCCATTTGTCTATTTTGGCTTTTGTTGCCAATGCTTTTGGTGTTTTGGTCATGAAGTCCTTGCTTACTCCTATGTCCTGGATAGTTTTGCCTAGATTTCCTTCTAGGGTTTTTATGGTGCCAGGTCTTATGTTTAAGCCTTCAATCCATCTGGAGTTAATTTTAGTGTAAGGTGTCAGGAAGGGGTCCAGTTTCTGCTTTCTGCACGTGGCTAGCCAGTTTTCCCAGCACCATTTGTTAAACAGGGAATCCTTTCCCCATTGCTTGTTTTTGTCAGGTTTATCAAAGATTGTATAGTTGCAGATATGTTGTGTTGCCTCCGGTGCCTCTGTTTTGTTCCATTGGTCTATATCTCTGTTTTGGTACCAGTACCATGCTGTTTTGATTACTGTAGCCTTGTAGTATAGTTTGAAATCCGGTAGTGTGATGCCCCACACTGTGTTCTTTTTGCTTAGAATTGACTTGGCTATGCGGGCTCTCTTTTGGTTCCATATGAAGTTCATGGTGGCTTTTTCCAGTTCTGTGAAGAAAGTCAATGGTAGCTTGATGGGGAAAACGTTGATTCTGTAAATTACTTTGGGCAGTATAGCCATTTTCACGATATTAATTCTTCCTAACCATGAACATGGAATGTTTCTCCATCTGTTTGTGTCCTCTCTGATTTCATTGAGCAGTGGTTTGTAGTTCTCCTTGAAGAGGTTCCTTACGTTTTTTGTGAGTTGTATTACAAGGTATTTTATTCTTTTTGTAGCAATTGTGAATGGCAGTTCATTCTTGATTTGGCTTTCTTTAAGTCTGTTATTGGTGTAGACAAATGCTTGTGATTTTTGCACATTGATTTTATATCCTGAGACTTTGCTGAAGTTGCTTATCAGTTTCAGGAGTTTTTGGGCTGAGGCAATGGGGTCTTCTAGGTATACTATCATGTCGTCTGCAAATAGAGACAATTTGGCTTCCACCTTTTCTATTTGAATACCCTTTATTTCTTTTTCTTGCTGGATTACTCTGGCTAGAACTTTCAGTACTATATTGAATAGGAGTGGTGAAAGAGGGCATCCTTGTCTAGTGCCGGATTTCAAAGGGAATGCTTCCAGTTTTTGCCCATTCAGTATGATATTGGCTGTTGGTTTGTCATAAATAGCTTTTATTACTTTTAGATACGTTCCATTGATACCGAGTTTATTGAGGGTTTTTAGCATAAAGGGCAGTTGAATTTTGTCAAATGCCTTCTCTGCGTGAATTGAGATAATCATGTGGTTTTTGTTTTTGTTTCTGTTTACATTGATAGACTTGCGTATGTTGAACCAGCCTTGCATCCCGGGATGAATCCTACTTGATCATGATGAATAAGTTTTTTGATTTGCTGTTGCAATCAGCTTGCCAATATTTTATTGAAGATTTTTGCATCTATATTCATCATGGATATTGGCCTGAAGTTTTCTTTTCTTGTTGGGTCTCTGCCGGGTTTTGGTATCAGGATAATGTTGGTCTCATAAAATGATTTGGGAAGGATTCCCTCTTTTTGGATTATTTGGAATAGTTTTAGAAGGAATGGTACCAGCTCCTCTTTGTGTGTCTGGTAGAATTCGGCTGTGAACCTGTCTGGACCTGGGCTTTTTTTGTGTGGTATGCTCTTAATTGCTGCCTCAACTTCTGACCTTGTTATTGGTCTATTCACAGTTTCAGCTTCCTCCTGGTTTAGGCTTGGGAGGACACAGGAGTCCAGGAATTTATCCATTTCTTCCAGGTTTACTAATTTATATGCATAGAGTTGTTTGTAATATTCTCTGATGATGGTTTGAATTTCTGTGGAATATGTGGTGATTTCCCCTTTATCATTTTTTATTGCATCTATTTGGTTGTACTTACTTTTTATTATGATTTCACTTACATTATTTAGATCTCATGCCTTGTAGATATATTTCCTATTGACAAAATAAATGCATTTTTGTGTCATTAAGTAATTCTACTAAAGTAGCTGAGCTAAAGTAGTTGTGCAGCTTGGAGCTACTCAAAGGAAAACCATCAGAGTAAGCAACGGTTAAGAGGCAGCTATGAAGAGGAGGAAGGGGTAAGGCGGGGCAGAGGAGTTCAGGAAGAACACTTTGGAACTCAGTGATGGGGAAAGTAGTAGAGGAGGAGGGCCATGTGGATCTGTGTAGAAGAGGAAGAATTTGTGTTTATTAGTTGCACAGGTTTTGGAGTCAGACTACCTAAATACGTATTCTAACCCAATCACCTACTCACTAGGTCTTCTTAGATTTCATCTCTCCGAACCTGTTTCCTCCTCTGCCAAGCAAGAGTTATTAATGAGGTTAGCCTACCTCCTTAGGTTAGTCTGAGGATGACCACGTGGATCAAGCATGTAGCATAGTGGCTGACCCATGGCAGGAACTTAGGCAGGCCATGGGGGACTCAGAATGGATTGGAAAGTGGACACCTTGGAACCAGAAAGCCTCAGACAGGATTAAGGCATTTCCTAAGTTCTACCAGTCGTATCTTCGAAATATTTCTTAAATCCCTCCTGTCTTGTTGCTCACTGACACCAGCATCCTGGTTCAGGCCCCTGTCATTTCTTGCTAGCAGTACTAAAATATCCTCCAAGCCAGCTTGATATTCTCTCACCAGCCTATCCTCAGCAGCCACCAGACCAGTGTGTCTAAAACACAATCTCTGAGTAAAGCCTTCACTGAGTTGGGCACAGCAACATGGACCTGTCGTCCTAGCTACTCAGGAGCCTGAGGTGGGAAGGTCACTTGAGCCAAGGAGTTTGGGGCTGCAGTGAGCTATGATTGTACCTGTGACTAGCCACTGCACTCCAACTGGGGCAATGTGGTGAAATTCCATCTCTTAAAAAAAAGCTGGCACTGGCACTGGTTCCTATTGTGTGCCACTCTAGGTGCTCCACAGCCCATCCCTTCCCTGCCTACCTCTCTGGTTTTCCCCAACCCCCACCACAATCTGGGTTGTATACTCACTTCTGCTGCTACTAAAATACTCTGAACCTCTAATGGTTGGGCAGAAGGAAAGACACTCTCCCTGCTTTGCTGCATGGTGCTAGCCCCTGACTTGCCCCTCCTGGGAGGTGGACTGAGGTGTCTGATGGGTTCCTTTGTGATACTCAGCTCCTCTCTCTCTCTCCTCTCTTTGGGAGTTGGTACTCCTTGACTCCTTCCTGCCCTGCATTCTACAGGATGGATTTCATGCAGGTGGTTGTGGTTGTTCAGCCCTGCTAGTGACATTAGCAGCATAAGTCCCTGTGAATAAGGATGTGAGAGTTCAGCCCTATGAACTCTCACACTAAGTCATTTTCTTCAGTATCAGCTTTATTAGTGACAAAGGAGGTATTTTGCTTGCCATCTGCCTGATTCCATTACGTACATCTCTGTATTAGTCTGTTCTCTCACTGGTAATAAAGACATTCCCCAGACTGAAAGAGGCTTAATAGACTCACAGCTCCACATGGCTGAGGAGGCTTCACAATTATGGCAGAAGGCAAATGAGGAGCAAAGTCATGTCTTATATGAAAGCAGGCGAGAATGAATGGAAGCCAAGCAAAAGAGGAAACCCTTTATAAAACCATCAGATCTCATGAGACTTATTCACTACCATGAGAACAGTATGGGGGGAAACAGCCCCCATGATTCAGTTATCTCACACCAGGTCCCTCCCACAACACATGGGAATTATGGGAGCTACAATTCAAGATGAGATTTGGTTGGGGACACAGCCAAACCGTATCATTCTCTATTGTTTCTAACCTTTGATAAGAAAGAAGTGTTAGTTACTGAACCAAAGAAGCCCCACCAGGTACTAACTTCCTGCAATTTTGCTTTTAATCATCTGTATATATCTGTCTTGGACACTAGACTTACCCTCCTTAAGAGTAAAGGCTGTTTCTTATCTTTGTGTATACAGAACCCAGTACTCCAAGGGAAGATGGTGTTTAGTCACGAGTATCTGTTTGTGGGACACATGTGGCAATCTAGTGTGAAGTGGGCCTGAATGAGGGCTGTGGTGGGAAGAGAATAGATGGAGGAGATGATAGTAATGGTAGCAACAGCTGCCATTCACTGAGCCTGCTTCATGACCGAGAACTTCACTTCAGCCTCCCAACAACACTGTAGGGGTAGAGGCTATTGTTTTCCCCACTTATGAAAATCTGAGTTTGCCCGCAATCATGCAGTAGAACAGTTTTTCTTACTCCAGAAACTGTGCTTTAAAAAGTCAAAGAAGGGAATAACTGAGTTTGTTACAATAACATTGGTAGAGGACTTGAGTGGTGTTTCCACCTACGTGGCTTCCCGAGCAGTTGGATAGATAAGTTAGGTAGATTCATATTAACCTCTCGGGGGGATGGGGTGGGAGGACCACCCTAGAGCCAGCAAAGGAGGCAGGGGGCAAGATTATTATTATCTTCACTGAACAAAAAGAAACAGGGAAGGAGGCAAGCAAGAAAAGAGAAAATAACTCGGTCAAGATTTCTATCCTAGGAGACTAGCAGGTTGGTGGCCAAACTGACAAATAGGAAATAGTTGAAAAAGAGCTGTCCTGGGAAGCATTTGTGAAGTTCTGCTTTGCGTGTGTGGAATGTGAGCTAATGGTGGAACTTCCAAGTGTCTATGTCCTGTGTGCAAATGAGAATAAAGCACAGGCACAAGTACAGCTTTTACTATTCAAAAAATATTTTTTAAAAACACAAGACATCCTGCTACTAAAAAGCAATGTTTTCCCATAGTTGACTGGTAAAACAAACCAAAACAAAACAAAACTTTCTTTCTAAATTAAGTACAATTAATTGTGATCTTTAGTTACTTTTCTCCCTACTGGTTACATTTTTGACATGTTGGTTCTTTTCAGTGCATGTTCAAGTCTAGATGCGTATTGACTGAAAAGAAGAATTTTGAGTCAAATCTCATGAACCTGCGAATCTGGTGCCATAGCAATGTGCTCCATTCTTTTTCCTAATCTCTTTTTCCTAAGCTCCTAATCTCTGATAGTTTTAAATACTGTAGAAAGCATATTACTTTCAATATTCTTTTCTGTATTTAATTCTGCATGCTGAAGATTTTTTCTGGTTCTAGAATACAGATAAATCTAGATATATGGTCCAGATCAATAACAAGAGGATCAATAAGCTTTTATTCTGTTGCACTTCCCTTTATTGAGGGGGTCTTGATTTGCATTTGCTGATTAGAGCCATTTGTCTAATATGTTGACATGAGAAATGTAGTTTGAATAAGGCCACAACTTCCTGCAAAGAGAGTAACCTACTTAAAATAATTTCAAATGTATTTCTTTTGTTACTTCCTTTCACCTTCTTTCTGGAATATAGTTCAGATGTGGAGCTCTCTGTGGACAGAGAAAGAGGCACCAGTTTCACTTCTGCACCTGACTCAGGTCAGTGCAGACAGCATGCTTCCAGCCCTTCACTGCATAACCAAAAGTACAGTCTTAAATGTGTTACTGCCCCACATTGAGCCCCAGGTGAGTCTGGAGCTGAAGGCCAGGTGCATTTGTTTTGTCAGCCATTTCCCTATGGTTTTCTAGCCCATTCCATCTTCTGTTTGAAGATACCTGAAATATCATAAAAAATGGTTTGTTTAAAGGTGTAGCAGCTGTGTTTTTTGCAAGAAGCTTATAATAATGAAATTAATACCTATAGTGGCTCTCTCTAAGGAACTCTGGAATCTTTGCACATATTAACATATTTATTTTTCTCACCTCCCTCTGATGTGAGGGAAAGGTCATTGTCATTTTTATATTTCCCTTGATGCAAAAGTAAGTAAGTTACAGTGAGGATTAAGTTTGAGATAGATCAGGAGAGAAGGAAAATTGTTCTTTTTCCCTTTAGATTTTAGTCCTTTTGTTCATGGTTGTTAAAGTTCAAACTATTCCACTCCACTATCCATTAATACATTTGCATATTCCTTCATTCATTTACTACCAAATGTTTATAAGGCACCTGCTGTATATTAGGCACTGGGATCACACTTGTCTTCAGAGCAGTTTGAAACTTCATTGTTGTACAGAAATTACTTCGTGCTTTACACAACCCAAAACCACTTCTGGGAAACAAAGTTTATAAACCACTGAAGTAGAACATTCAGTTATTTATTCAACAAGCAATTTCTTAGCATCTACCAAATTTTATTAGGTGCAGACTGCCTAACACCCCTCTTGGATCAAAAATCCTATAACTGTAATTCTTTTTAAAATTTCTTTTTCATGATGAGTGTGTTCCACTTTCTCTATCTCATGCTCTTTGTAGACTCTTCTTTATGAGTATCAAGAATAAAGAATTTGTAGAATGTTTTCTTTGTTACTCTGTCCTTAATGTTTAGATTAGTGTTTTTCTTCAGGCTAACAACTTACTCTTCAGGAAACAAAATCTTAAAATGGCAGGGAGCATGCAGAGCTAGAGTTTTCTGGAGATTGAGAGAAATGAATAGGTTGACTTGTATTTCTGTATGTCTACTGCGTCAAGGGACCATTCTTCAGACGTGAAAGTATCCTAAAGAGTGGCACATCTGGGAAATGTTATGAGTTGTCCTAAAAAAAAATGAGGTTTCAAGATAACAGTAACCTTGCTAATCATTAGCTTATTCCATTTCATGCCTATATTGGAATTTGGTTCTCTCTTCCCCTCTTCATTTAGTTCTTTCACTGTCTTTCAAGCTTCGTTCCCATTTGCCCCATGCTGTTTGCTCCTTCTTCTCCTAGAATATTTGTCAGCTTCACCATGGACTGACTTATTTATCCTTCACAATCCAGCTCCAGTCCCACCTCGTCTGTGAACCTTTCCCATTGCCTTGCTTATCCATTCTTTTCACTAATTTGTTCTCTCCCTTTTGCTTCCACACATCCTATTGATAGTATCAATAAAGCTGATATCCCACCAAATTATTGTTATCTATTTAAAGATAACCTGCATATGTAAATCACATTGCAGATAATATATTCATTAAATGATATTTTTATTCCATTCTGTCATCTTCACCAATGCTCTCCCCAAGAAGCTCTTTAAAAATGAAAATCATCAAGCTCAATTTCGTACTCCTAGTTCCCTCCCAGTGCTTAAAACATTTGCTTTTGGCTAGCAGCAACACCGTCACGGTTTTGGATAAGATAACCTCCTAGAGGCCTAGCAAGGTCTCTCAGATTTATGCCCATGGATCAATCCCATTAGTGGTGGATATGGACTAGAGCCAAGAGGAGGAGTGGAGCCAACCCGGCAAGGCGCAGGATCTCCTCCTGGCATGTGGTTCCTACCTCGTGCTGTGTATACCAACCTCGGGCTAATCAGTCCACTTCTGGAACAGGTGTTCTGTGTCCTGCATACTGTGGCTGAGAGGAGAGGGTGAGAGTTTGCTACCTGGTCAGAATTTATGTAAACAGATGCCATAATTAAACAGCTCAGATTGTGTGCTGGGTCAGCAGATGAGGAGTGCTTTGAGAAAAGTGTCTTCACCCTGTGAGCAGGACTCCTCTTCACACATACCCACCCCACTTCTCCACCCAGAGGAGTTAGAGTCTGTTCGGGGAACTCCTGTTGAACATCTACTACATTGTACTGCACTGGCAGTCTGACAGTCTTTATGACTGGATTAGAGACAGATGATTTTGAAGTGGGAATAAAAAGGTTACTTTTTTATTTTAAAAAGATTTGCCTTTGTTTTGTGAAATTGTGCAACATCAATGGTCATCAGTAAGACTTTCATGCTTCAGAGAGATATCAGCCCTCAGATAAGGCACAAAAGGAGATGTCATACCCTCAGCCTGGAACTAGTTCTGCCCTTAGGCTCTGGATATTTCCTGGTCTTTGGGAGGTCTACTGTGGTCATCCAGGAATGGGTTACCAGTACCTGTCCCCTGGGATATGGAAGCATCTTAGGAGTAGTAATACTTATGATTTTTATACCTAGAAAACCAGGATGATAGTGTACTGTGACTGGGGGTTGGGGAAGAGTATTAGACCTCAGAAATAATAAGTTAATGTCACTACCAATATCAATAGTAGTATTCCTATTAAGCACTATGCTAAATACTAATAATTTGATATAATCCCAACACTAGATTTTTTTATTATTTTCATTTATAGTTAAGGAAAGTGATGCTAGCAGATGATAATACCAGCATATGTACTGAGCATGTACTATTAGCTGGCACTATGCCTACCTGCCAAGATCCTGTTAGAATCATGCTTCAAACCCTCTTTTTTATGATTATAGAATGAAATGTCCTTGGGGAAGAGGTAAAGGATATGTGGAAAGTCTCTGTTTCCACATTTTTTTGCAGCTTTTCATTAAGTCTAAAAGTAATTCAAAATAAAAAGTTTTTTAAAAACTCAAAACTACAAAGCTTGTAATGGCCCCTCTTTGCTGCCTCCTCTGGATAATGGCCCCAAGTAGAAATGCTAAGCCCATGTCAGGGATGCTCATGATGCAAATCATACCGGAAACTGTTCTACAGGTGTGCACTCCTCAAGGATCACTGTTTAGTGGGTGGCCTTCTCATCTAGACACGATGAATCTGCAGTTAGTATGGCACATTTTCCCCAGCAGATGGCAGTAAAATGTCTTGAGGAAGAGATGCTTTTTTCTGATGCTCACAGTAGTACCATCTGGGCTGGCAGTAGTCCTGATAGTGCTAAGAGATCTGGAGAAGAGGTAGCAGAATTGAGAATTGTTTAGGAGGTGATATTAGACAGCAAGTTGCTGTGGTGTTTTATTATAAAGATGCCAAATTTGAGTGCAATCAAAGCAACCACTAAATTTATCATCGGTTCAAAGGATGTACTCTTCCTAAGCATAGTCCTTCATTTTCTGTATCTGTATAATTTCTATTTTTAAAATCATGGGATTCCCCTTGTAACAGTGTGAGATACAATAGTGATCTAATGAAGAATGAGGATTGATGGAATTTTCTTGCCCATGAATAAACCCTTAAAACAGGAAGGTTTTCCATGAGTGGGCTTTAGGGAGTCTGTGGTTCCCTTGAAATTGTCATGTGAACATATAAATGTGTGTGCATTTTACTGGGGAGAACTTCAGTAAAATCATATTCTCAGATAGGTCCAGAATATGTTTAAAAAATTCTCTCTGAGAGCCTATCACCCCAGAAGTCCTAAAAGAGATTCAAGGGAGGAGAACAGCAAACTCAGGTGCCTACAAGGACCCCAGGCAGATAACAGTGAATGAAGCAACCCTGGTGGGGACTGGGGTGACCTGGAGAATGTATACCCTAGATGTACAAAGAGGCAACCATTGTTCAGCCCCAGGTGAGAGTGGCCATGCAGAAGTGCAGGCCCAGTGTGGAATGAGCTTTTGATTTTTAAAGAGAAGCCACAGACCCATAACTTTAAATGAACTATAGACATTTCTGAAGTGTGCAAACAATTTAAAACATTTCTAAACTAGCTCAGGCAAAATGAGCATACTCACAGGTCATATGTGGCCCTGGAGCAGCCAGTTTGATAACCTGACTTTAGACATAAGCTTGTCATTCATAAGCTCATTACCTGACTCTCTTGGGACATACCATGTTAAGGAACCCTAGTACTACTTATTATTGGTTACTATTATAACAGCATTCATAGTAATAATGACTATCACCCTAGCACTTCCTATGTGTCAAGCACAATCCTAAACACTTTATTCATAACTCCTGAACCATTCTCAACACCCTATGAACTTAAGTTACTAGTGGTTTCTAGCATTTGTTATGTGTTAGGTAGTGTTCTAGGTCAGGACTCCTCAGTACAAGTCATGACTCATGAAATAATTCTTTAACAATCCTATGGGTAGCTAGAGAAATTGAGGCACAGGGATAGTTAGTAACTTGTTGAAGCTCATTTCCTAGATTCAAACCCAGGCAGTCTGGTCCCAGAGCCCACACTCTTAGTACTGTGCTGTCCTGACTGTCTCTGGGATGCTCTGGGTACTGGCTGCTTTTCAAATAACCCTCAGCTGTGGTGCTTAGTGGTCCCAGACAAATCCCCTTCTCTCTGGCATGACCATGTGGCACTTCTGACCAAATGCAGTCAGCCCTAGGTCTTCTGTAAAATGCATCTCATTTTTATGTATCACCAGACATGCTTAATTCAATCTTTGTTTTTTAAAATCTCCTCTGAAATGAACAGATCATAAATCATTTGCTAGATGAGATAGCCAAATAATGGTGATAGATGGGCCTTGGCTTTTGTCTCCTGAGTAGTTTGGCCTTGCCTGTTATCACAGCAGTCAAAGAGTTGTATTATAGTAAGATGCCAATATAGACACAGTGTCGAGAAAGGAAGGGACAGCTTAATTCTCCACTCAAATTCCTGTTTCATTTGAACTTTCTCAAATGAGTGAGACTTCCTACAGGGTTACACAATAGAAACTCCTGAAATAAGTGAGAAATTACAGTTGTAATGTTAGAGAATTGACTTTAATCTGCAGCTGCAACCTAGAATCTGTGTCTGAGAAACAAGGTTGAGATTATGACATGGGAGCATCCAGTAATTTGCAGAATGCACTTGTTTCCAATTCTGTCTATTGGTGCCAATGCCGAAACCCAAAGCCTGCTGAGAGATTGATAATGGAAAACTGAGGGAGGGAGAAAAAAGCAGGGTATAAATTTACTCTAAAGCTGTCATATGCCGTGAATTATATCAAATGGTTCTCTAATTTTCTACTTGGAAGATAACCTTCTATTTTTTTAAAAAAAGATAAATTTGGCTCTTGCTTTATAGCTTTGCACTCTCATCAGCTCACCAGTTTTATGATGCTTCCTGTGAACAGTGGGTCTTAGGGGTTGGTGCATTTCTATTAGCATATGCTTCTGCAAAATAGTTCATAGAGAACTGTGAGTCCCTTTTGATCAGTTAAGCCCTGTATCTCCCTCCCCAAACAAGTTCAGGGAGAGAATTTGTGGAAGGACTCTCTTCCTAGGGACTATTTTAATGTCATTTAAAAAAATAAAGTATTAGATATAAAGGCAAAAGAAAGGTAGCTTTAGCTTAAAAAATGCTTGTAAAGAGGATGCCTTCATTCACCACTGGGACTTAAAACCAAAATTTTGGAAGAGTTAGTGGGCAAGGGCATGCTGGGAGCATTGTTGAATTCCAGGCTTGATAACATAGGCAATTTTTAAGAACCATTCAGAGACCTATATAGCAAGAAAGATAAAAAGTTGATGGATCTAATTTTGGAAAAGTATATGTATTTTTTAATTCCTTATAAAAACTTGAAAGTAAATTTCTCTTGTTGTATTTTTAATGAACTATTTAGACTTTTCCCCTTGCTTTATGGAAGAAACTCTAGTGTATGCATTTGATGTTTTTTTCTTAATAGGCCTAAGCATAAATCACAGGACTTGTACAAACTTAATGTTTCTAATAGTTTGTGCTTTTGCTCTCAGCAAGGACCACAGATATAAATGACTGAAGGCTCATTGCTTAAAGAAAACCTTGACAATGAGAAATGACAAATTTAAGTTTGGTTTAGAAGATCATTGAATTTAGTAGTGGTTACACTGGAGTTGAATTGTGGAGGTTAATTTAAAAGTTAAAATGTGAAGCAAAAATCTCATAAAATGAAAATTACCCTTGACTAATTCTTGTATTTCTTCAATTGAGCAAATAGTATAGCTGGCTGCCCTGGAGAAGGAGAACCTATGTACACTGTTGGTAGAAATGGAAATTAGTTTGATCATTAGGAAAACAGTATGGAGGTTCTTTAAAGAAATCTTTTTTTTTTTTTGACCCTGAGTCTTGCTCTGTTGCCTAGGCTGTACTGCAGTGGCAGGATTATAGCTCACTGCAGCTTCAAACTCCTGGGCTCCAGTAATCCTCTTGCCTCACACTCCCAAGTACCTGGGACTACAGAGACACACTACCACACCTGGGTAATTTTTTAAAAATTTTTATTAGACACAAGGTCCTTCTATGTTGCCCAGGCTGGTCTTAAACTTCTGAGATCAATAGGTTCTCTTGACTTGGCCTCCCAGGCAGGGTCTTGGGGTTATAGGCATGAGCCATCGTGCTTGGTCCAAAAAAGGAAAAATAGTACTACACAATCCGGTTATCCAAGTTCTGGATATATAGCCCCCAAAAATGAAATCAGTATCTTGAAAAAATCCCTGCACCCCCTGTGTCCGTTGCACAATAGCCAATATATGGAAACAATCTGTCATTCAAGAAGTGAGTAGATGAAAATATGGTGGTAGTGGTGGTGGAAGGGTGTGTGTGTGTGTGATATTATTGAGTCACGGAAAGAAGGAAATCCTGCCATTTCCTACAACTAGATGAGCCTGGAGAATAGTATGTTAAGTGAAATAAGCCAGACACAGAAAGACCAATATATGATTTCACTTATATGGGGAATCTATAAAAGTCAAATTTGGCAGAATGCAGGCTTCATGCCTTTAATCCTAGCACTTTGGGAGACCAAGGCAGGAGGATTTTTTGAGCCCAGAAGTTCAAGTGCAGCCTAGGCAACATAGGGAGAGCCCTTCTCTAGAGAAAATAGAAGAAATTAGCTAGGCATGGTGGCATGTGCCTGTGGTCTCAGCTACTCAGTAGGCCGAGGCAGGAGGATCATCTGAGCCCTGGAGGTTGAAGCTACAGCAAGCCATAATCATGCCCCTGTACTCCAGTGTGGGCAGGAAAGCAAGACCCTGTCTCAAATAAATAAATAAACAAACATATTTTTAAAATTAAAATAAATTAAAATGTCATAACAGAGTAGAATGGTGGTTGCCAGCAGTCTGGTAGTGGGGGAAATGGGATTATGTTGATCAAAGAGTGCAAACTTTCAATTACAAAAGAGTAAGTTCTGGAGATCTAATGTACCGCATGGTGACTATAGTTAATACTGTATTGCTTACTTGAAATTTACTAAGAGAGTAGATCTTAAGTACCCTCATGGCCCCCACCACTGAGTGGTGATGAATGGTTAATTAATTTGATTGTGGTCATCATATCATAGTATATATGTATATTAAATCATCGCGTTGTACACCTTGAATATATACAATTTTTATTTTATGCCAAATATATCTCATCAAAGCTAGGTAAAATTGTTTCTCCTGCATATGCCTTTTGAAATGTATATATAGGCTTAGGCCACAACTAGCACACAGAGAAGTAAATGTGTGCGAGCCATATTGATGATGATGATGACAGTGATAATGACTATGGAAAAGATGATGACAGTCATCATGACCAGTTGACTTCATTGGTTCCCAGAATTCTGGCCAGCACCCAGGTTCCCCTAACCTTTGTCCTGCTTTTCCTGGACTTTGGCTCCCTCTTGGCTTTCTCCTGTGCTACTGGTTTTTTGACAACTTGGTCTCTGCTCCTGTCACCAGACACTGTGCTAAGTTTTCATATTACTGTCAGCACAAGCTTTGTTACAGTCATCTAAGAACTTTGAGTGATCCCATGATCCTTCCTGTCTTGTGACGGGAAACTGGACCAAGGTTGTCTTCAAATATCTAGGCTCAGTTTGGTCATCTGGTCAGTTCCCAGCCTGCCTGCCTGAGCCCTGCACTCCCATTTCTGATCCTTTGCTGCCCTCTAGTAGCTGCTCGCCCGACTGCACAGCTGTGCAAACTTGAAAGGATAGGTGTACTTGCTGGATTGCAGGGGGCTTCTGCACCTGGATGTTAAGAAGGTGCCTAATGAGGGGAAGAGACCCAGTGAAGAATGTTCCTCAACACTGACTTCTCTTCCCGTTTTGCACTCCGTGCATTTTTATAGAGCCCTTTTTCCCCTTTAGACACTATTAGAGGGTTGTTTCCTCCTTTGAAGGAAATAAAACACCTTGACTTTTTTTTTTCAGTCAGTGATCAGTGATTGAAAGTGTTTGCAAAACATCTCCAAGGAGCCCTTTAATGTCACTTTTATGGAAATAAAGGTGGAAAATAATAGCCACTATTTTTTAAGTGAAAGAAAAGAGCCCTTCTGGGTTTTGGTAATGAACTTAGGAAGACAAGATATGGTTAGCAGAAACTTTTGAGACTTTGGTAAAATGCAGATTTCCTGAGAGAGAAGCCTAAGAGTGAGACCTTTTTCTTTCTTCTTTTCTGAGTTTTGCTTGTTATATTATTGTATTACAAATGGAATGGACTCTAGAGCCTCCTAATTTTTTGGTATACATAGACACACATATATATATATTTGAATATTATTGTATTCATAGACATTCCTAGTCTTTGTAAAGCACTTGAAAATTGACATCGTGCTTTCCTATTTATTCTGTCACTGATCACTGCAGCAACCCAGCAAAACTGGTAAATTCAGTATTGTAATAGAATGGTAGAACTGTAAGGAATTTTAGAGACACAGCTCCCTCATTTTACAGATCAAGAATCTAAAGCTTAAAAGTATTAGCCACGACTCTTTGATCCCAAGTGACAGAAATCCAGCTCAAACTAAATTAGCAAAATGGAGACCATACTGACCCAAGTAACCAAAAAGTCCAGTGTATTAAGGATTTAGGAATGGATAAATCCAGATATTCCAACGGCATCTCCAGGAATCTGCCACTATTCATCCCTTGACTCCATTTTCCTCTGTCTTGATATGATTCAAAGTCAGCTTTTTCCACAGGTGATACAGTAGCAACTCCAAGCACATAACCTACCCTTCCCAGTGGAATGCAGACTTATCTTCTTTGCAGTAGTTCTAACAAAAGTCCTGGGATTACATCTCATTAGCATGGTTTGTGTGACTGCCTATTTCTGGACCAGTCCCTGTGACTAAGGGATTGTATCACTTAGCCTTGATACCCACTCCTGGAGGGGTAGTGGTAGGGGAGTGCCAGCCTCATGCACACCACATGGACCAAGAGTGATTTGCAAAAGCAAATCAAGGTGTTGTAATTCCCTGAAGAGGAAGGAGGCCTTGATGCTGTTTGAGCATAAGCAATTCATGTGGATTAACTGACCTTTTGTAAAATAGGTTCTGTGCCTTGCAGGTTAGAATTCAGAACTACATGTTTAGTATTGTGAGTTAGAACTTTCCCTACAAATGTGCTTTTCCAGCAGAGGAATTGCATCTTATTCACCTTTTTACATCCAGGGCCCTTCATGGTGGCTGCCAGAAGGGATGTGCTCAGTCACTTTTACTTAAGATGAAACAGCCAATATGTAACTTCATCAGAACTTTAACCTGAGGCTCTAACTCCTTAGACATCTTTCAGCTCTGCTATCCTATTTCCCATAATTTTACATTTCCTTACTTTCCACCGTCATTACAGTTAGTAATATTTGATTAAAATATTCTAGGTGTTAGCATTCGTCACCTAATTGCATGTGTTTTGGTGACTCATAATACACATTGCTTGAAGGAGTGAGAGTTTTCCTACTTCACTGCATCAGAAAAGATAATTATGTCAATATATATTCTATGATACCTTAAAATATTTTCAGTACAGTTTTATTTGAATGACTAATGTGTATTAGAATTGAGGAGCCTTTATTGTAGCTTTTTTTTTTTTGAGACAGGGTCTTGCTGTCTCACCCAGCCTGGAGTGCAGTGGCACAATCATGGCTCACTACAGCTCAACCACCTGGGATCAAGCAATCCTCCCATCTCAGCTTCCTGAGTAGCTGGGACCACAGGTGTGTGCTATCATGCCTGCTGATTTTTCAAATATTTTTGTAGAGTTTGGGCAATTCAATATTGCCCAGGCTGGTTTCAAACTCTTGCACTCCAGTGATCTTCCTGCCTCAGTGTTCTAAAGTGCTAAGATGACAGGTGTGAGCCACTGTGCCTGGCCTCATAGTTTGTTTTTAATACATTCATTCTTACTATGGAAAACTTAACTCCTGTACTACAAAATGAAAGTCATCAAAACAGCAGCTGGAACAGCAAGAAGGTTAAGGTTGTTATAGTTCAAAACCCTGTTGAATATGGAATTACAGAGTTTTTAGCAATGTGTTACTAGAGCTTCCAAAAACAGACACATGAATTACTTTAGGGATACATTATGTCCTTGACAGGCTATAATTATGCATGTTAGACCAGAATATACTATCAGGATGAATGTGTATTTGGTACTTACTTCATTCACAGAGCCAAGCCAAGATTTTAATTTTAGCATCTTTTACTCTGCTTTTTTTCTTTGTTGCTCTTGCTGCCTCTGACTTCAGTGAAACACTAGCTGGGTTATATGTTTCTTCATATTTGGAGAATAACAGGGTCCTTATGATCTTGTCAGAAGCACCAGGAATGAATCTGGGGTGTACTCTGGAAAGGCGGGCACAGGACACTTCCGTTTTCCTTTTTCTCCTCTGCAAACAGGTGACATTCAAGAATCATGTTGTTTGGAAGAACTTTCTGTTAAAGTGGCAGAGCTTTTTTTTAAAGTAATTTATGAACTTCGTCTTTTCCATATGAGCTTTACAAACAGTATTGCATATAAAAGAAGTCCAATAGAAGGGAAATCCTTTCACATTTATTTATTTGACAAAAGTTTATTAAGCATTGGCTGTGTGCTAGGTACTGTTCTATACAATGAACAAAATAGACCAAAAACTCCTGCCCTCATTTTTTTTAAAAAAAAGCCACGGGCAGAGGGCAGCAGACAACAAACAGAAAAATAATTAAAATGGGTAGTGTGTTAGATGGTGATTAGTGATATGGGAATCCAATAAAACAAGGGTGATAGGTTGGGTATGGAGGGAGTACGGTCAGTAAACCACTTCATCCAACCTCTTTTAGAAACTCATTTCTTCCCTTGATGTAACCGAGCTGCCGTGCGTACATCACTACTCCTTATGGTTGAAGCTGGGTTTTTGAATTAATTGTGTTTCTTTCCTTCCTAGTAGCACATAAGCCCCCACCACTATATCCTGGAAGTGTGGAAAATGAACATTCTTTTAAGACAGCGGTAGTCTATGTATTGAAAATCCATCTTTTTAATTTTAGTAAATATAGAACCTCTCCCTATTGGGTTTTCTACTTTTCATTACTCTTCAAATAATGTGCTTATCTTCCAGGTTATCTGCAAATTATTGGTCACAAGTATCTGACATAACTGGGCTGTATGATATCCTAAATCCATGAGATTATTTATATTAAAGCACTTATTCATTTAGCCCTAAAAAAAAAAAAACAAAATTTGACTAGCACTACAAAATTTGAAGAGTAGTACTACCATGGGCCCTTAAAGAAATATCCAGACATTCATAAAAATAAAAGCAAGGGTTGGCCCCTGATTTTGGGATGAGTTAGGAGGAAGACCCCCTGTGTGTGGCCCAGAACCCCAGAGCCTAGAACAAGATAATCAGTAAATGTCTGTAGGAGAACACTCTTGTGCAGAGTAACTGTGAAGGTCTGGACCAGGATGCCAGCAGTCAGGTGGGAGTGTATTAAGGATTTTAAAGGTGGGCTTGAGAAAGTGGGTGATGATGCAGTGAGCTCATGGAAGAGGAACGTGCGTCTTGCTGGGGAGAAAATGGAGCTTGATTCAGTTCAGATCTAGTTGGAGATGGTTATGAAGGCTGCCCTTTGGACTCAAGGATGAGGGAAGGTAGTTTTATTTTATTTTATTTTATTTTATTGAGATAGAGTCTCACTTTGTCATCCAGGCTAGAGAGCAGTGGCATGATCTTGGCTCACTGCAACCTCTGCTTCTTGGGTTAAAATGATTTTCCTGCCTGAGCCTCCTAAGTAGCTAGTATTACAGGTGCACACCACCATGCTTGGCTAATTTTTGTGGTTTTAGTTAGTACACATGGGGTTTTGCCGTGTTGGCCAGGCTGGTCTTGAATTCCTAACCTCAAGTGATCTGCCCTTCTCGGTCTCCCAGAGTGCTGACATTAAAGGTATGAGCCACTATCCCCTGCCAAGGGAAGGGAGTTTTAAACGAGAGAGTAAATTTGGGCTGACAGTTGAGATTTGGGAGTCGAAGCAGAGAGGTCATTGCTGGAGTCCTGGGAGAGGATAAAATGCTGAAGGTGTCCAAGATGCTATGACAGAGCTTGGGAGAATTCCAACATTTAGGGGCAGAGAAAGAAGAGGGATGAAAGCAGGAAGAGGTTGCAGGAATAAAAGGGGAGGAACCACTTCGTAACATTGTAATTGTGGAAAAGGGATCATTATAATTGTTAATCTCAAGTCCACCTGCTTATGATGTCTCTGACCAAACCAATCTACACTAGTCACATGGAGCTAATGTAAGGAAGAGTCTAGGCTCCGTAAATAAGTGCCCAATTGTACAATTGTATTTCCTACCAAATGCATAGTGGCTAATAAAAGCTTTTAATACTCTCTGTTCTAGGCACGTTACACAGATAAACTCAGTTTACCATTCAAATAAGCCTAGAAATAATTTTTACCATTTCGCAAATGAAGAACAGAAAGGTTTAAAAACTTGCCCAAGGTCATGCTGCCATTTAGCGGCAAAAGCAGGATTCAAAGTCAAGCAATTTGATTCTAAACTGTGCTTTTGGCCATTACACCATCCTCTTCTACATAATGCCTCTGTAAACAGTTGGACATACCTAGGCTTTTAGGAGGATTAATTCTGGTAGTTTTTTCCTCTTGTACGGGCATTCCTCAATTTCTACATGTTCTATTCTTTAACATTTTCCACCAGATGGTTTTAGCTGATGAATGCTTAAGATTGTTACCTTCACAGGAGCGTTCCTGGCCTCCTCATGTTCAGTGGAGGCAACCTTCTTTTCTTGACACTGACGGCCATCAGAGCCCTGCCTAGATAAGCAAATAACACATGAAGAGTGCACTATACCCACCCTTTTATGTCACAACACACCAGAGGCTCTGAGCTACTAAGTGCTTTTTAATCACCCCGGATTTGCAAGAGCGTGTCCTAATGACACTTCCTAAAGGGCATCATTACTTCTACAAAAATGTTTTCTCATAAAATATTTGCTTTAAAAAACGCCTAATGAATTCTGTCTTGGGCAATTACACCAACTTTTTGCACCCTTAGAACCTGTGTCAGCAAATTGGGTCTTGCTTTTGTAATAGTCCTCCACGACAGCTCATCACTGGCAAGCTCTGTTCAGGGTACACCTCCCTTGTCTGACCCTCATGTTTCAGCTTATGTTGACACACTAGTTGAACTAAGTAGCAGACAGTGGTCACAAGAATTATAGCATGTTTGAGGCTCATAGTTGCTTTCGGTATCTTTGAAAAGGAAAATAAAAATGCCCGATTTTAATAAGCTAAGAATGAGTCCATGAGGTTGTCTATAAGGAGCTGACAAAGTGGGTGAGAATCACATTTTAAGACCTCCAAGAACACTGTGTTCTAAAATACCCTGAGGATTTGGGAAATGCACAACCTTCATGTTGCGGGGTAAGGATGTGGGGATCAGTATATTCAATACTAGCCAAGGCAGGATGTTCTGTGCTGTTTAAATAATGAGCTAAGCATGTTAAGCATTTTTAAGCAATTGCGTTCAAAGAAAAAGAAATGTAATAGTTAAATAAGGAAATAAGTGGGATCTATCAGGTGTATTTTGTAACAGAAAGATTTATGAAGTTAAAATGAAGAAGAAAGTGCAAATTATTTTAGTACTTTAATAAAGTTGATTCTAATGAATAAAATAGTTGAGTATTTGTGGGATTAACCTTATTAGTTTTGGTTTTTTTGCAAAATGAATTCCCAGATTTAGGATTATGGCAGGACATTTTTGGTTTATGATGATTCTTTCTTGTTAAGAATCAGAAGAACCTGCAAATAGCACTGTTTATTTTTGGGATGGAGATGTTATTTAGAAGAATGAATGCAGCAGAGGAGAATCAAGGAAATGAGAAAATTAGAATAAGATTATGAGGCTATGTGTGCCACCCACTGATGAAGCTGTGGAATTCTTTGGTTTTGAGAATATATTGGAATCTTTGAGCCAGTCTCAAGGTTTTCTTTGTCCACATGACACAACCCACCCCCTTCTTATGATAAAATTAGTACCACATTGTCAATGGAGGTGATATTCAAAATATTTCAAAACCAGCATGCCACAGGCCAGTCAGGGCAAACCACTCAGCAAGAAGGGATTCCTGGTAAGCACTTGATACATAATAGTCTTTTACCAGAAGTCTTAACTGTAACCTCTTTCTGGTTCCTCCTGGTCAGGGTGGTCCCAGAACCATTAGCTATGCTTCAGAGGGACATGGGCATGAGCAGGCAAAAGGTGATAGGCACTACTGTTGCCCTCTGTCAAAATATAACTGCACTTAAAGGTGCTTTGTAATTGGATTTTTCCCCCTGTGAACTAGATCACATCTTGTACAAGTGGCAAGGAAGCAGTGAGAAAGAAGAGAAAGAATAATTAGCCAAGTGTGAGAAGCTGTGGTTCTTTCCTGTTCTTTGCCACTTACTAGCTGAATGACTGATGAAAAACACCTTCTCTGAAACCAGTTTTCCTTTTCTGAATCAAAAACCTACAGCAGAGTCGCTCCATGATGCATTATGTGTGAAAGTGCTTTCTAATTCATTAAATTCTACATAAACACTGTACACTTTTATTATACCTTAGCCAAACTAATATCTTAAACCCTGAAGTAAGAATTTTCATCTTAAGTGATTAGTCTGCCCTGAATTCAGCAAACCCATTGTTTCATATAGTGAGATGTTTGTGTGTGGTTTTTTTTAAGAGGAATAAACCTCTTGAACTAGCTCACTCACTCTTCTGTAAGCACTGGAGCTTAAATCTATATTTTGTACAATTTTTTCCCCATAATCCCTACTTTGTGGCCTTACAGAGCAAGTTGTAAAGTTTGAACTGTCTAGACAGTTGAGCCACCATAAATAACATGCTCAGGACAGGTCCCAAAGACATCTGCTTACACTGATCTGGTAGCCAAGAAATGTAGGTCACTCTGCCTAGTGGTGGCTCATGTTAGGAGCCTGTGGTTCAGATTCCACCAGTTAGCTTGGCCACTTGAGACCTTCATCCTACAGTTCGATAAATTTTGAGATAGAAAGCTTGCATTGTTGGAAGGCATTTTACCAGTGCTAGAGTTCAGGATGGGAGCCTAAGTTTGCATTAGGCAAAGGGAGAACAAAGGGTTTGGGGCAAGAAGGCTGACCTGGGAGTGGCTCCCCAGGAAATCTCCATGCACTGGTGAGGCCAGAAATGGAAGAAGAGGGAACACCTGGTGGATTCCTTCATTTTCTTGGAAAGAGTTACTCCAGGAGGCTCCATTTCTGTAAGATTCCTGGGGCTGAGCCTGGGTAGGCTAATAGGATAGATATGGATTGGCAGCCACAGTATTCAAAGAGAGAGACAAATCCCCTGGTTTGGGCTCTCAGAAACCTCTCAAAGAACTCCACAATGGGTTATTTCCCCTGCCAAAAAAATAGACATTTTAGTAGTTCTGAAGACCTTTCTTAGGACTAGAGGACAGAGCTTTAAAAAAAAATTAAGCATGTAAGGAAAAGGGGAAAATATTTCATCATTTTAGTCATAAGGAAAAAGCAAATTGGATCTGAGTTTGCATAATAGCAGAAGGGCAAGAGATTCCTGTACGTTTTTGAGTTTTATTTGACTAGACTGGGCTGGGGTGGTGGTGGTCCACAGGCAAGATTCTACTGAATAGTATTTGACAGCTGCATATTCTGAGTCCCTGGATCTTAGGAAAGATGTTACATTTGGAGGAGAATCTTGGAAAGAGCTAACTATCAATCCTTATCTCACTTTAGCTAGTAACTCAGTTCTCTAGTACTAAGGTATATTTCTACTTAAAGCAAAAAATAATCAAGGAGGCTAAACTATTTCTAGGGATAGCCTAATAGAGATGAACATAGTATGGGTTGAAATTCAAAGATTTACGCTAATCAGAACAATTATAAAAATTTCATTTTGTACTACAGTCCATTTCACACAGTATTTTCTGTTGGTTAGTGGTTGCTTTAGCTAGACCATCCTTGGTAAAAGAATTCTGTTCTTTTCAAAAACCTTTCAAGTAGATGCTTATGATATTCAGATGTTTTTTTCCACACAAATTATTTTTCTGTTGAACTCAAAGTACAAAGCATATGCATTTCAATAGCAGTAGATTGAAATTGTTTGAGTTCATGTTGAATTTATGAATGAAGAAGAGAAAGTTTTACCACTACATTTGAAAAATTGGAAGTTATTTTAGAAACCAGCTTGAAAGATTTTTCATAACCTGAAGAGTAGAGAATAAAACTGTATGAATAATTCATAAGGTCCTAGAAATATTAAGTAGTATAGACAGTGATATATCTTTGCATTTTGACTAATTGATTTTTTTTTTTAACTTAAACTTCCTGGCCAACTGTCTAATTTTTTTTGTCCTGAATGTTTGTGTTAAATCCTGTGGGAGAATTCTGAATTTTGATTAAAATTCCATACCAAATGTTAGTTTGTATTGACTATATAGTGAGCAGGCTGCTGCTGGCAGATGAGGAGGTGGGCTCCGCCTTCTTGTCACTTTGTGAATGGATTGTGAAGGGTTTGTTAATTTGCTCTTCACTCCATTGGAGCAGATAGTCACAAATATCTGCTGTGTCGCAAGACTGTTTTATTTGCATAAAGAGAAGAATGGTTTTGGGGAGGGTTGTTAGGGAAATCATATAATAAGGTATATTCAAAATAGAAATACTTGGCCTTGCTTGCTTTTATTTCTGGTATCTTTAGAAACAGTCTTGACTGTGTTGCTTTCCAGCCAAGTCCTTTTTTGGAAGGGTGATTAAAGGGGCTGGGACTCCATCTGCCTGACTGTCTGCCTAGCCGGAATCCTTTCTTGTATTCCCTGCATAAAAATACACTGCCTTGACTCTCATAGGTTCCTAAAGTACCAAAGAGGTCTCTGTCCTAGAGCTGCTTCCCTTCTGTAGGCAAAACTATGATTCTTTCCTCAATCCCAAATATAAACTATCCTCCCTCTTTTTATTTTCCTTTTTTTTTTTAATTTAAAGAACATAATATATGATCCAGGCATTTCTTCCTGATGTAGGAGTGCAAGCATTTCACTTGCATTTTCTATTGAATGAGACATATAAAGATACTGACTTGATGCTGAGAAGGAAAGGGGCTGAACTGACTAGATACATAGCCCTTTGCCTAAAACAGAATGCACTGCTCAGTGCTTAGCATTAGATTTATGGAATGGCTCCTCTCCCAGCATCGTCCCTGCTTTATACAATTTGGTGCTTTGTTGCTATCGAAACGGCATTACTTTCTAAGCCATTGTGATTGTGAAAGGGGAGGAGGCTGTAGCGGGTAGGGGTGGTGGTAGTAGTGAATGACACAGCTTTGCCAGATGACATGTAGCGGACCTCTGCATCAGCCAAGAGGAATTAAGCTTTGTCACTCCCCACTGGGACTACCTTTCTCCTGGTATGTGCGCAAGGAATTCATATGCTGCTGCTGCTGCAGCCACCAGAGCAGAGCCCTGAGTACACTTTGCCACAGAAAGCAGTGAGCAAGAATGATAGCTGTCTCTTTTAAGTGCCGTTGTCAAATTCTGAGGCGACTTACTAAAGGTATCGTGCTTTCCTTGTTATTCCCTCAGCAAGTCTGTTGCAGTATCCTATAAACACAGTTTAATGGTTTTTACTTTCAAATATGACTGCCTTTACAATTTATTGTCAGGCAACAAAGAACTCAGTGAAATATGTATAGATACATATGTACGGGTATACTCAGCTTCGCTTTCTGTCCTTACATCCTGGCTGTGTTCATGCTGAAATCATGAAACCAGCTTGTGTGATTTTCT